GGATAATGACAAACAAATAATGGATGTGGAAATAAGGTTAACAATAACACAGATAGAATAAAGTAAATAATGACAATAATAAAATTTGAAATTAAAAAAAAATTGTTAGTTAGGTTATAACTGGCCATGGAAGGGATAGGGGAGTCACGTATTTCTTCTGTACACATAGATTGGGGTTATATGTACGAATTCCAATGGCTTCAGCTATATATAGGAGACGGGAACGGACTCCGTCAGGAAATGATGGAGGTATACGATAGATAACTCGAAATGATTTCAATTTATCTACTGCATGACCGCTATCAATAAGATGTGCTAGTATAGAGCTGCGAATAGTTTTTCTCTGACCCTTTATGTACCAAGTTGGTAGATGTTCACTCATTCGTTGGTTAAGTTGCCTGGTAGTACGCCCTATATAGCTATCTCCACAGGAGCAGCTGAATTTGTAGATGCACATGGAAGAGGCCAACTCAGGTAACTTATCCTTCGTTTGAGTAGACATCGCTGGTCGACAAGAGAAGGTCAACGCAAGATTGGCTGCGTAGAATGTCTTGGTGATTACTTTGGTTAACCTATATTTCAGAGTGTCACTAGCCACATCCCCGTTGAATTGCACTTTCATGTATAAAGGTTTCTTACGAACAGTCGAAATCTCCGACTTCTTTATTATATCCTGCATGTATTTCTTAATGAACGCGCTGGGGTAGCCGATCTCGGTCAGTGAGTTGATGAGAAATTCAAGCTCCTGACTTAGAGTGTCTACTGTACAGATCTTTTTTGCTCTGCTCGTGAGACATCTGACCAAATTTCTCTTGTAACGGATGGGTGTGAAACTGCAGAAGTGGGTATATTGGCATGAAGAGGGGTTTCTTCTATACACGCTTCTACTTAATGTGCCGTCACTTCGTCTGCTTAGTGTGACGTCAAGGAAGCTCAGCTTCATATCATGCTCGCTTTCACCAGTGAAGGTGATCGCTGGGTGAACACTGTTGAATTGGTCTAGGAGTTCCTCTTTACTAGTGTTTTGGTCTACGATAATGAATGTGTCGTCAATGTATCGACAATATAAATCCAGTTTCTTAATAGTCTTATTGAGAGGTCCGTTTTCTAGCTTTGCTAGGAAGAGGTCAGCTAAAATCGGGCCTAGAGGCGAGCCCATGGCTATCCCGTCTATTTGTCTATAGTAAGTATTGTGTACAGAAGAAATACGTGACTCCCCTATCCCTTCCATGGCCAGTTATAACCTAACTAACAATTTTTTTTTAATTTCAAATTTTATTATTGTCATTATTTACTTTATTCTATCTGTGTTATTGTTAACCTTATTTCCACATCCATTATTTGTTTGTCATTATCCGCCTCTTTGTATTCTTCACTATCTAATTATTTACACACATCTTATTACGTAATGATTTTTAATGTTTTGTGATTACTATTCCTAGTCTATTTACCCATGTTTATTTGGCCTTCTATTTCCAACCATTAACTATTGATAAGAGCTTTGTTATTGTAGTTTATTATTCTTACCACTATCTGTTCACCTGTCTTCGTACTATCAACTTGTACTTTTACCTATTATGTGTAGTGACTTATTCTATTTCATTGTGATTATTGACTCATATTGCCTTGATTGGTTTAACATTTTCGTATAAATATTCATGTATATTAGAGTAAAGCCTGATGACGATCTAATTGAAAACAATTGTTCGCTTATATGTGTTGTTCTAATTTTCACAATGGGAATCTTTAACATTAATAAATCACCTCTAAGACGCCTATATTCTAATGGGTAAAGGTCTAGTGAACGGAGGCGTTCTTCGTAAGGCTTAGATTTGAGTCCTCGAACTGATTTCGTGGCTCGCCGTTGAATACGCTCCAAAGTGACCTTGTCCTTTTGGAGTGAGGGGGGAGTACTATGTTTCCGTACTCTAAATGGGGACGGATGAAACTATTGGAGATTGTGTGGAAAGTTCTTCCGTCAAACTGGCCAAAAATGCGCCTCAACGTTACCAGTGCAAGGTTTGCTCGGAAGGCATTTTTGTCACAGTTAGCGTAAGACTTCAAATCATGGGGCACCAGGACCTCTAAATCTTTTTCGACTTGGGATACTACTAGAGAGGAGTTTCCTAAGTTGTAACTGTAGTTTGCGACATGTCGCAGATGGACTACTTTACACTTAGAAGTGTTAAAGGTAAGTCCGTTATCGTCTGCCAAATTTGGAGTCGAGTCAGATCCTCCTGAAGTGCCTGTATATCGTCTTGGTTGCGTATCGCTCTCCAAAGTTTAACATCATCGGCAAAGAGTAATATTTCTGACGTTACCTGTTGAGGAAGATCATTTATGTAGATCAAGAAGAGAAGAGGTCCTAGTACTGAGCCCTGGGGGACCCCACTAGGACATTCCATAGCCTGAGATAAAGTGAAATTAACTCTAACCTTAAAGTGTCGATTTTTTAGGTATGAAGTAAGCCAATCGATTAGAGGTGGTTTGATACCTAATCGTTTGAGCTTATTGATAAGACACAAGTGGTTAATCTTATCAAAAGCTTTTGAGAAATCAAGGTTAATGATATCAACCTTTCCCTTGCGATCGAGGATGCTTGTCCATCTGTCCACCGCAGTCAGCAGGTTGGTTATGCAAGAGTAACCCTTCCTGAAACATGCTGTTGGAGTGAAAAGAAATTTAAGGACAGTAGATAGTCGTTTAAACCGTCGCATATCAGGGACTCCATGAGTTTTGAAGGTAATGACAGAAGAGCCACCGGCCGATAACTTGAAGGTTCATTGTGTCAACCTCCCTTGAAAATTGGTGTGATGTGAGCCAGCTTCCAATTTTCCGATAGTTTGTCTCGGCTTAGCCAGTGTGAAAACATCACACTAAGCGGCGTTGCCAGGATTGAGGCTGCCTCCCTCAGTATGGCAGGATGAACCATATCCGGGCCAGGAGAAGTATCTAGTCCTAAGTGCTGCAATTTCCGGAACACCAAGTCAGCGCTAAGGTTCACTTCGGAGAGTCCTGTGGAATTGTAGATGAAACTGTCGTCAGTAAAGTTGATGTCAGCCGGTTGAAATGTTTGAGAGTAATGTGCCGCCAGAAGGTTGGCGGCGTCGCCATCGTTGTTGGTCGGGCCGTTAAGACCTAGCAGTTGAGATACTCCTGTTTTGGCTTGACGAAGAGAGGCTGGATAACGGAATAGGCTTCTAGGGTTACAGGCAAATTTGTCCATAAGCTTTGTCTGGTACTGAAGCCTGTCTTCTCTTATAGCCTTCGTGCATGTGTTCCCGATATGTTTGTATTGCCTATACGCTCCATCGTTATTAGTTCGTTTGTATTCCGCCCAACAGTGCCGTTTGCGGCTTAGCAGGCGAAGGGTACGGTTCTTGATTACTGTAGGTGGCTTGCAGCTTTTGGGAACCGTTTGAGGAACTGATTGGTTTGCAGCACATAAGAGCGTGTGCAGTAAGAAGTCCTAATGACCGTCCACATCGAGTTGAGGGTGAACATCCCAAACCACCTGTTGTAGATAGTCATGTAGAGCTGGCGCATTCAGCCGTTTAAAATTCCAACGCAAATTATTGTTGGGATACCTTAGCTTAGTTTTGATGACAAAACTGAAGGCTATGACGGCATGATCGCTCTTTCCCAGGGGAGCCAGGATTGAGAGGTTGTCAACTAGGAATTCTTCGTTTGTGAATACACAGTATAAGCGCGATGGTGTCTGACTGCTTCTCCAACGAGTTGCCGACCTCACATTTTCATATAAGCCCAAGTCATCGATGAGGCTGAAGAACCGAGCTTCAATTGAGTTGTCGCCTCCAGTGTACGTGTGTTCCGCGAAGTTGACTCCAGGGAGATTAAAGTCCCCTAGAATCAGGATGTGTGTGAAACCGAGACGGGTAGAGCGGGATAGTCCTTCCAGCATACGACTATCGTACTCGATGTCGGCAGCTGGCTTCCTGTAAATGGCTCCGACTAGACACCTCGAAGTACTAGACAATCTTACAGAGCACCATATGGATTCCTCAAGATTGTTAAACTCGAGGTTGTGAACTTGGTGCACCTCCAAGCAAGAGCTTATGTATATGGCTACTCCACCCCCAATTCCTGTTTTTCTGTCGTTGCGGAACAAAGTCATCCCAGGTAATGCTAACTCTTGGTCCGAGAACTGAGAAGATATCCAGGTTTCAGATATTCCTATGAGATGCGCCTTATTAGCGTTGCTAAGTTCACGTAATTCATCCAGTTTGTTTGGTAGACTCGCGACGTTCATATATAAGCAGTTTATGCTTTCAATTTGGAACGCGTGAGCTTCGTCTTGTTTGTCTGTATGAGCCTTATGTGAATGGACAGGTAGCTCACCTATATGAGGTTTGCCGAGGTGGTAGGCCCTGTCGTTTACACGCTTTTTTATCATTTAGACAGTCCACAAGTGGAATGATCAGCTCCAACTTGCTTTTGCGTTTGGTCCTAGCTTCGTATGGCTTATCCGGGTGCATGTGGATTTCAGGTGGCAATCGGCGTCTATTGGCACGAAATGCTTCCAGAACTGCAGCCGCCATGTGGGAAGATGGGAAGGTTATCTTCATTAGACGGGGTCTAAGATCACCATCCTTCTTGGCTAGTTTCGTCACATGCTGAGTCAGTATGTGTTTGAGCCTCGAGGACTGTTTGATGAATTTCCATTCCCTGATGTCAGAATTTGATTGAGTAGGGTCTGCATTTTCCTGAAGAAATTATCTAAATGGTCTCAAACCTAGCAGTTGCCGATAAAAACTTCCAAGTGTATTGTGACGCATATCGGTCATCAAGGTACATTTCAAAGTGAAACTGAAGATAATCCGGTACCAGTTCCCGTTTCCCTTCAGAGGCCTCATGCGATGTTTCTATACTTTTTCAAACTGAAATTCAAAAATTCTATCTTATGTGCTTCTATAACCCACTAAATAGACGAAAAATGCCCCCAAACGCTTGAAGCTAGTCAAATATTGAACATTGCAAGACAGATGGTTACTCTCACACCGCATTCTCTTCTTAAAGTTGTTGGTGCTGGAGTTGAACTTGGTGGCTACCCACTTCTTATTATAACCATATTATGTCGTCTTTGTTCAGTAGTTTGACAAAAGCTGGTGTTGGTTTGTTGGCTGCAAGCAGTATACTCCCACTTGTTCTTTACAATGGTAATGAAAAGTTTCAAAATACATCAATCTTTCAGTTGATGGTGGACATCGTGCCGTAATATTCGACCGATTTAAAGGTGTTAGACCTGATGTAAGAGGGGAAGGAACACACTTTATCATTCCATGGGTTCAGAAGCCTATTATTTTTGATATTCGGTCGCGGCCAAGAAACGTGCCTGTGATGACTGGTTCAAAAGGTTAGTAGAGTTGAGAAGTATCATTGGCAAAGTGTATATGAAGTAAAGAAGTTTTGTTGAGTGATGTTATATTTGAAAGAGCATTTCTCACAACTTCAATCGGTTATTTCTTAGATTTTATATCTTTAAGAAACTTCCCCCGTTCTCGTTTTTCCTCGATCCTTGTTTGTTTCTCGGTCGTGTTATTTGTCATGCGTCACTAGTCCTTTTTGTGTATTTAAACAATAACTGGGCTTTCGCTTGTGATGGTAATCTTAATTCACTTGTTTAGTCGACTAAATTCATCATCAGATACAGAAGACTAGTGCCTAGAAAGCAATACACGTGTTATTTTGAGATTAGTGAGTATTGTACAAACTAACGTCGCACAAACAGATCACTTTGGATTCCAGACGTATAACTAGCTTCAGAAATGGTCGGTTATGGTTTCGGAAACCTCTTTGTCACTTAACTTTTTCATCTGTTCTACTGACTAATTAGGAGCAATGCTATTTAAGATCTCCAAACATACTTCAACCAAATAGTTCACATATTGGCTCACGAAAGAGGTCACTGACTTAATGTATTAAAACCATTTATTGCTTTAGCTTCCAGGTTTCTAAAAATCTGCTCTTATACCAGCGAGCATCAACCTTGAAGGCAAACAGTGGATGTACATATTATCTGTTCCTACCAGCTCTCCTGATAAGTGTTCTAGTATCACTAAGCGGTTCCTCATGGGGTGAAGGTAACTGTCCTAACCATGGTTTATATCTTGACAGGTACAAAGCATGTAAATATGTATCAGTGCCAAGATTTCAAATAAATTGGGCATTAGACAGGAAGCTAACAATAAATGTATATTTTGTTACATCCCAATGAATAGATAAATTGTATTTCCGACGTTTTGTGGCTTAATGTAAGTCACTTCATAAGAAATGCCAATCAAGTTGACAAAAGTTTTTCTTTGTACTATTTAAACTTGTGTCAATTTAGTTCGGTTATTTATTTTCTCTGAAGAGATGATTCACATTAAGCCACGAAACGTCAGAAATACAACTCTTCTACTCGTTATGATGTAACTAAAGATGTATCTAGTACGAAATAACTAAGTGTCGTAATGGAAAAGCATGTTTTTTGAAACTACATAAAGACCTCTGGAGCCAATCCATCTGGACCAACTGCTCTTCTCAGTTTCAGATTAGCTATAGCCTTTGGAACTTCAGATAGTCGGGGGACCTACCTCAATGTTTCATTCAGACTGTTTGGGAATGGTGGGTAATTGTAGAGTAGCTGAGAGCCAGCTAAACTGTTCTCTAAAGTCTTGAGCCTATCGTTCTAAACGTCTTAGATGAGAGCAGATAATAGTGTCGTCTTTTTCCGAGGTAGTCTCATACTTGACTATTTAGTTCCAGTTTCTTTCGCTAGTCTGAAGAGCTGTCTTGTGTTACCTACAGCCGCTGCCTTTTCCATCTCTTTTGCTTTCGTTGCCCATCACTGCTCACGATCGTTCCTAAACCGTGGGCTTAACCTAGATCTGGTTTGTTTACGCTCTTCATCGTGTTCAGAGCCTGATGGGATGAGTTTACGAGGATTCATCAGTGCAATAGACTTAGAAGAAATCCATTGGTTTTTTGTAACCCTTTGGTTTAAATTACTAACAGATATCACTGCTGTTTCCACAGCTGTCCGTATATCTTTCCAAGCAACATCTGGGTCAGCCTCGTTATCAGAACTACCTAAGCGTGACCTCAGTTTTTCCTGGAATCTACTTTCGGCTTTCTTGTCACTCACTTCAATTCTAATGGGTCTTCTTAGTGCGGCTTTTCTGCGTCTAGTGAGGTGAGAGCAAATGCGTGCCCGTATCAGAGTATGATCGGAGTTCAAACAGGTATTCCAGAACGAGCGACAGCCTTTATCGAGCTTCTCCAACGATGACTGATGGCAATATAGTCCATTTGAGTCCATCGTTGGTTAGGTGCAGGGGGTTGCCATGTTAGACGATTTCTCTCCTTATGCTTAAAATTAGTGTTTGCTATAAAGTTTAGAAAGCTTTCTGTAAAAGTCATCTTTCACTTCATCCGGATTCGAAAAGCTCGCTTGGCTTTTGCCAACTTACGTCACCCATGGCGAAGGCAAGATATCCGTCTATCAATAAAAGGACGAGTACACTGTGCGGCAGTCCGTTCTGTTTTAATTTACGGCAGCTAAACATGGCCATTAAGAGTAGAAGACACTCGTAAGCTACTAGTATTTGACCACAGATGCCTTAGAAATATTGCTGGCGTCTGCTGGGATCACCGGCTAAGTAATGGTGAGATTAAACAAAGGGTATTAGGGAATGATGGTAAATTAGTTGATGAGGTTGTAAATCCTCATCGACTGAGATGGTTGAGCCACGTGTTACGTATGCCCGAACACTGATTACCACGACGTGCAATGCTAACCGGTGTAGGGGTTGGTTGAAAGGAAGTTAGGGGCGTCCAAACCAAAACGTGGCATCAGTGCTTGAAGTCACTAACTTCTAGTCTGAGCCATGTTGGTAGATGCAGACTACTTGGTTGGAGTCCGCGTGACTATCGTAACCAATGGTTGAAGACTCTTGGTGACATGGCTCAGAATCGACCACAATAGCGTCGGTGTATACACTCTGTCTTCCCTTAAACTAAGAGATTAAAATCGTTTCTTATATTTCTTCGAATTAATTCTTTCTTCCCGTACTATGTCCTTGTAAGAAATCTTTCTTTTATATATTACCACCATTGAATTAACTACTACGAATTCGGTGTTCATCTTATTGTGTTAATGAGGTATGGCAACTTGGGCCGATGCATATATTTGGTTGGTCCTACGTTGTAGCTGACTGACTAATAGTTAGCAGTACGACTTTACCCTCTGACATTGGGTTTGCGGCTTTTAGTCTTAGCGCTCTTCAACCGACCTTTCCGGCATGTTAGGACCTTGAGGAACGATTGTTCCAGCCAGCATAGCTCGATTGGTTCATTACGGTGGGCAGGACCGACCTCCACGTCAAGGTAGCAACAATGATCGGGCATACCCACTGTAGCACACAGATGTTCACCTAGCCGAGTTGCCACACTTTACAAAACAACTAGGGAAACCCGACCAAATGAGAAAAAAGTCAATATAGTGGTGGAAAACTAAAGAGAATATGTAGTTTGAGGAAAAAAGACTATCACTGAATTTAAGTGTTAAAGAATACACTTTATCCGTGTAACTTTGAAAGAGCAGGTTGCTAGTCTGGACCTGATTTATGCATCTCAGTTTGTAAATTTCAGGCAACGTACAAGAAATAGGACAAGCTCATTAAACATACTGGGAAATTAGCTATTTTTCACTGCACGGCTTTTATTTATATTCCTACAGTAAGACCATAAGGAATGTTTCTTATAGATTATGACTTCAGTAATCTGTGAAGATTGCTGAACCTGATATCAAGGTATTGGGCATAGTCGCAATTGTACTTTTGTAATAAACTCAATCATATAAATAAAAACTAATTGTCAATTAACTTCACTCGGCCACAAAACATTCTTTAAGAGTTCACTTCATCCAAAACTCTAGCAGTCATTCTCACCAAACTTCATCATATGGTTTGTAGTAAAGTACTTCGTCAACTGGATCTGTTGCATTACTCTTCATTTTACGTTTGCGCGAGAAAATACACTTGATAACCATGCCGGACAGATTTCTTCAATAATAGCAATTATAGTATCTTCAATTTATGCGTCATTCATTTCCATGGGTCATATTTGTGTTTTTGTTGCTATCCACATAGATCTACAAACAGTGAATATAACCTTGCGCATATTGTTTCGCCCTGAGCCATCTACTCTACCAAAGATTTATCAGAACCTAGGTTTTGACTACGAGGAACGTGTTCTTCCTTCCATTACCACTGAGGTGCTCAAAGCAGTGGTTGCTCAGTTTGATGCAAGTGAGCTTATAACGCAGAGAGAATTGGTCAGTCAGAGAGTGAATGAAGATCTTACCCAACGAGCTTCATCATTTGGTATATTGTTAGACGATATTGCCCTGGTAAATGTCACTGTATTTATTTAGTAAATAATTTCTTTTGTTTCTATTTGTCATTTTCCGACCTAGCATCTCGTTATGGTTTCATACTCTCTTATTACATACTCAGATTGTCCTTATTGTTTCAAATAACACTGGTTCAAGTGATTTTCAAGGCACCGCTTTGTTCGCCGTTAGATGTTCTACTGATTAGACAGTGTCGCGTCTGAAGTTGGTTACAGTTTTGCCACACTTCCAAAACAGGGCTGTTACAAAGCCCATCAGTCATCATCGAATATTTATGGTTCCCATTTGCCACATCTCACATCAGCAAAGCTAGAGAGGAAGTTAACGAGATTAAAAGCAAAGTAGAGGAAATAATATTAAATGAAGCAAGAACTTAGGCATGAAAAATGCCGTTGAAAAGGAACAAATAAGATCAAAGAATTTAAGGTTTTTAAGAAAGAATAGTTGAAGCTGTGCCACTTCAACGGATTCCACCTCATATCACCTATTACGAGTATTAAGCAGACCCTAGCTAAAAAGCCTGTATGCTTTTTGATAACAATATGAGGTTGTATTACATCTACGAAATCTGTGTAAGTAAAGAAGGATTGTTAAACTAATAAGCTAACGTTAGATTAAGAATATAAAATATAAGTAAGGTGTTTTTGTCATTATTATTATTGTTTAATAATGCTTCGTGTGTTATTTATTCTCACAGACACAAATCTCTTTCGGTCGAGAATTCTCAGAAGCAGTAGAAGCCAAACAAGTTGCTCAACAAGAAGCTGAACGTGCACGATATTTAGTAGAAAAGGTAAAATGTTCGCCGGGAGTTGATGAGCAGTTTAAAAACTTTCAATATTTAATTAATTACTACTAAAAGCAAATCCTATCAGACGGTCATTTTAAAACAGTGAAAATTATCGGTCTCATTTGTACAGTCGCTTTATACGCTCAGATAGATATTCTTTTCAAATTATCATGCTCGTACGAACGATGTAAAACTTTACTCATCAATACATCAATTCAAGTTGGTGAGCTCTCCTAAAATGGATCTAAAAGAAAGCTACTTGCTTGATATTATAATATGTACTATACTTCATATTGGGTGATCAAGTCAAACTAACCGTTGCATTGATTGAAAGTCAGATATTTAACCGTGTACTCTGTCTCTAAGTTAAGTATGTAGAACAACGTATAAGTTTTAGCCCAATACAACCTATTAGTGTGTTGTCGATATTCAATAAAGATATCGTTTATATGATAATTACACTTTACTTCGTGATCCCTCTATATTGTCATTTAAATGTAGTTTTGTTATGTTGTAATTCCCCAAGATATTTTATTCTTTCTTGATTCACAAAGGCTGAACAACACAAACTGGCTGCCATTATATCTGCAGAAGGAGACTCAGAAGCGGCAACATTACTTTCCAAATCTTTTGGATCTTCAGGTGAAGGTCTTATTGAATTAAGGCGAATCGAAGCTGCTGAAGACATTGCTTATCAACTTTCGAAAAATCGAAATATCACTTATATCCCTGATGGTCAACATACACTCCTTAACTTGCCTGCTGCACAATAAAGTCTATTTGTTTATCGTGTTCTTTTTATGTAAATGTATAAGATACTTAAATCATCTGAGTTGAGTATTACCGATTGTGCACGATTCAATTGTCTCAGAATTTTAGCTTTTGTACCATAAATCTTTACCTAGTTAATATTCATTTATTCTCTTGTTTATCTATTTAAAGGCTACTACTAGTGTGTGTGGTCGTTCAAATGATTTAATTACTATGTTTAATGAATAGACTAAAAACCCAGTGTTATTATACTGATATAGTTCTGTATGCTTCGGGGAAAATTGGCACCAACAATTTGTCTATTTGTCTGAGAACTAGTAGGTTGGTTTGTAGTGTGGATCAGTGTTTTGCGTAATTTTAAAAAGTCAATACCACATTGGTATTAATATTTCAAGAGCGAATCTCATCAGGACCAAGTATATTATTCTTACCAATTCAAGGATCGATGCAGTGACATTTTATATTCTACGAACCCCCAGTATTTTACTTATTTAAACACGTAAACACTGGTACAATGAGGCACCAAATAGATACGCGCCACATAACTCGATTTATGTGAGGGGTGGAGTACTGTCCAGGAGCCCAAACCGGAGCAGCTTGTTTTCTTAGGGGGCCACACCCCGAGTCTTTGACCTTATGATCTAATCCACAAGACAATAGAGCAACGTCAGGAGATGCAGTCCCATGGTGGCCGGTGATCAATAATAGGTTCGCACGTTAATTGTTTCCTCAGGATCCATGTACACCGTTGGTCTGGAGTCAGGGTTTTCCAACTCTGCTAGGTCGATCTTCGTATCCACCGACCCGGGTAAAGCACCGGATATTCGCTTTTCGTCCTCTCAATTTCGTAACCAACACCCGTGCGATGAGAAGGCAGTGAGTAGGACTTTCCTGACAGTGGTTGTATGCACGTGGCCATGTGAGAGCATTTTGAGAGGGAGGGCTGACTCTCCCCACTCTCGACCGTACCAGGGCAGTATATAAGTGCTAAAATCATTTCGTCCATGTCCTCTTTATATAGTGATTTCAGGGGTTATAACGGAAATCACTGGATATTCTTACGAGGTTCTAAAGTAATAATGACCAACTAACTTGGACTATAGAGATTACGTTTGAAGCTTGAACATTGCCATATGTATTCGGGTTTTGACAACCAGTTACTTGAACATTAAGTTGTTCTTTAATTGTAGAACAATGGATCCCTTCCACAGATGTAAGGAGTTGGTCCGAGAAATGCAATACTCATGACATTATGAACAATCTGATCACATCCGTTAAGGTCTTTTTGTACGAAAATTAAAGAAAGTCAAATTAATACAAGTATAGTAAGTGAATACATCAGATTTTTCAGATTAACTCCATATTCATTATACTTATTTCTCTTAGAATGTGGACAGTAAAGTGAAGGGTAGAATTACTAAAAAGTATTTGTTTTCATTACCAGTAATGATAGTAGCTAAAAAAGGGGTTATACAATATACCGTACGTCAATTTTAGAGTATTTTGGAACTAACAAATTTTGTACAATCTAATCAACTTTTACTTTTCTGACTGGTTTATGTAATAAATCCATGAACTGTTCTGTTTTTTATTAAGAGTAACAAACAGTAATGTCAAGGGTTTCTGTAGTTACTTACTCTAATCTGCTGTATTGTCTATCGTTTTATAATGTGAAATTTTTAAGAAAAAAACATTAATTATACATGAACATCAGTCTATGTATTGTACGGGCTCAATGATGTTTCGTTTCACTTTTTATATATAAAACTTCAAGACTACTATAATTCATAGTGTATTTCATTTATTTATCTTCCATTTTATTCTGTAATGTTGTCATCGGTGGTAGTGCGATTATTCTTGGTCTAGTAGTTATTTCGAATTCTTTATCATTTACTTCATCCAGAATATTACTTAACATACCAGCTAAAGCATCTTCAATTAACCATTGAATAGCCGGATTCCTAAAATGATTAGAACATGATTTAAAAAAAATATTAATTATTTTATTGGTAGGGAGGTGGGCGAGAGGAAAAGGTTGTGAAGCTTCTGTAGAACATGTAAGTACCTTTTTTAAATTAGTTGGGAAATCATTTAAAATCAGGGAACATTGGATTAGTGGCTTGAGACTTTAACATCTAACTACAAGTTCATTCACAAAAAGATACATGGAACCACTGAATTTCGACTCAGTGGTGTGACATTCATCTCAGATTTAATCTGATGTAGGCTGATAAATACTGAGCTAGGAAGAAATGATTACCATTCACAAGCTGTTAGTTTATAATAAGTGATTGGATGTTAAGTAAATTATATTCCGACTGTAGACGTCATCTTAACACTGGTTAGGCTTGTTTATCGTGATGATCCAGTCAAGTTAAATCAGTTCATCGAAGTCGCATCACACTATATAGGTTAGCTAGAGAGTAGTAAGACTAAAGGCATCAAGTGTAAGGTCAGGGCTATGTTGTACTCGAAGTGGAGTGTCATGTCAGCATAAAGCCTCCTACGGACAATCAACATCTCCAACCACATTACATTTCCAAAGACCGGAAAAGAGGTTGGGAATGACACATACTAAGGACAGTACTCTTCATCTTAGAGGAAGTGAATTCTGAAAATTGAGAAGCTAGTTCAACATAGATTCACAGAAATGCTGTGTAACTGGCTACAAGCATTTGTCTCTCGGCAACTGCGTTCAAGTTCTCAGGTCAAGAAGACTGCTAGTTACCCAGATTGCTCTATAGGTCCCCCATAAAAAATCTCTACGATAATGAGGTGGCTGTCCAAATGTGGTCTAACATTGATTGGTTCATAATTTGAATGAAACTGAACAACTTCCACAAATATATACAGACAAATCTGGTAATACTTAGGCTTATCTTGTTTATACGATAGACATGATATGCACAGATTGTTTGATGTTTAATCGTTACGGGAAATCGATCGTGTTTACTGATGCTTACTTCCATTTTAGGCAAGGGGAAGAATAAATATACAACTTACTGTATGCACATACTGTCAGCAGTTTCTTTATTTATACTTTTCATATCTTGTCTATTAGTTTTCTCTTGAACTATTTCAGGTATCCAATTATTTAAGTGATTTGTTGTTTCGTTTATGTCATTTATATAATTAATTGATAATTCGTTAGGTTTAGAACAATTATCTGATTTTATTTGTATCCATAATGGGACTGGATCATCATCGTCATCATCATCAACGATGATTTCATTGTTGTTCAATGATGATGCATGAATGATATTCTCAGATGGAATAACAATATTTTGAATAATTTGTACAAATTCATTATTAAATATTAAACTATCTATTAAAGATGTTATCAAATCAGTGAATAATTGTTGATGTAAGTTCCAAATATGATCTTGTATTTTAGTTGAACTGATTGCTTTAGCAGCTGAATGATTAGAATTAAAAAATTGTGCACTAAAGAAAAGAGAAAAGTAATTTGAAAGAGGAATATCTGTTTATTCGATAGATTTTATGTAGGTAATTGGTAAAATAATCCACTTTTTTAGTATTAACATCAGTGTTGACAATATAGACTATCACGATGGTATCAGAAAGGGATTTGGGAACTATAGTCAACTAGATAGTGACACGCCCCCAAATGCCATGGTACGGCCGAGAGTGGGGATAGTCCACTCTCCCTCTCGAAATGCTCTCACATGACCATGCGTATATAGCCTCCGCCAGGGAAGTCCTACTCACTGCCTTCTCGTGGCGGGGATGTTGTTTACGAAAATGAGAGGACGAGAAGCGAATGTCCGGCGCTTTTACCGGGTTGGTGGACATGGAGAGTTCACCTAGGGGAGTTGGAAAACCCTGATTCCAAACCAATGGTGCACATGGGCTCCAGAATCCTGAAGAATCAAATGGCGTATGAACCAATCGTTGGTCACCGGCTACCATGGGACTGCATCTCCTTACGTTTCTCCAATGCCTTGTGGACCAGACTTTCAGGTCGAAGGCTCCGGGTATGGCCCCCTAAGAAAACCCAGCTGCTTCAGTTTGGGCAGCCGGGCAGTATCATAACCCCCACACATATCAATTGGCACATATGTATTTGGTGCCTCCTTGTACCAATATCTGTGTTAAAATAAATAAAGGATAGTGACATAAAGATGTAGCGTATAAAACGCATAACTATAATATTTCAAATGAAATTTTGTACATGTACTACCCATGTGAACATGAATAAGACTTGCTGTTTTCAAGCAATAATAGTGAGTAGCTCTGTAATGTGCATCCGTTATCATTAGGTGTATCGTTTTTCTTCCACTTTGCTCAGCTATTCTCCATCCCAATGGGCAGTTGATTGGAGGTCTCTATCTTACCCTCGTTGGTAGGACATGCTGGCGAAGACATTCATGGAGAAAATACAATTGTTCTCAAATGGAAGCCTGCCTTTTGGCGAAATTCTCCTATTCGTTGTTCGAAAATGGGAGTGAGTGGTTCGCTCAGCTATTAAGGTAGATTTACATATGTACTGTAACAAGAGAGAATTCAGGTGTGCTAAAACAGTGCTTTCATAAAATATGAAAAACACTAAATACATTCACATCTTCCATCAGTTGTCCTTCTCGTACTTCATGATTCTCCCAATTCCTCCCTGTTTCTCTTCCTATTCACTTTATATCGATCTTCGACTGGGAGGCATTCTACTTCCAACGGCTGCTACATATTACTTATATCTGTCAGCATAAGCAAAATACACAACAGTACTACTATATGGTCTGAATGATTTTATTAGACAAGTTATTCTGCCGTAAAGACCAATCAGCGCAAGTCATTTTTTTTATGGTAATCGTAAATTGGTACATATGGGAATTTTAGGTAAAGGAGTCTTGTGGAAATTGTTTTCTAAAGTTGTAAATAATATTTGTCATCAATTGGTTTCAGTTGGGATACTGCTGAGAACCAGTGGGTGCTTGGCAGATGTCGGGCTTTTCGGTAACCTACAAGTACAACCCCACCAAGGGTCAGACTAAAGAATTGTAAGTCTTTTGACAAGTACCTAACTGTTAGAAAACTTTGTTAGCAACCGTTTCATTCCACTGGTTACAAATTTTCACTAAAAAAATTTAGAAACTCATTTAGACCTAAGTAATTGGTAAGCTGACTATCATAGTTAGACTAAACGATTATTGTGGCGATCGTTTTTAATTTGTAGGTGTTACAAATTAATCAGTTAGTTCTCTATTGAGTACCAAGGTTTTGATCCCTGGTAAGGTCATTATTGCACACTATTAAGGAGTTCCTTACTAAGACTACACAGTTGTCTAGTTCTTTTTGGTTTTCAATGGTACCTCGATTGAAATTAATTCGTGAAGATTGTCATTCACAAATTGATTGATAATCATAGAACAAATGTTTTCTTATATCACTACCGCTTGGTAAAAGGATGTGGTGAGGTTAGCAGTCACATTTATTGTCAGTTAATGCGTCAGTGCAATACATACTTATTGTGATATAATTTCACTCGATCACTTCAGTTTGTCAAAAGTGGAGGAAATCCCAATTATATAGTGATCGTTCAATTTTAACTCAGAATAAAATGATTTCACCTAACTGAATGGTCAATGAGATCTAATGTTTAGCCTGCCTAAAATTATATAACACAACAAATACTCGAGAAGTTTTGTTTAAATAAACATCTAATCTGGTGATTTCCGATTTCATATGTCTACTTATATGTCGTTAAAGCAACCCATACTTTGAAGGTAAAAGTAGGAACGTTTGTTTTAAATAAAAATCAATAGATGTCGAAGTACTTGGGACTCACTAGTAATAAATCTATACATATATACCTCTTCAGAGGTCTTATTCTATCATTATATACTCAACACTTCGTTGTTATATTGATCCTCTCCATCACCTCAGTGTTCGTTCTCTAGTCCTAGAGTTGCCAGTTGATGTCTCTACAATTAGAGTGTATCTCTTACTTTTATTACCAGAGTGTTGAGACCCTAAGCTCTTGGGTTCGACTCTTGGTAGGGTCGTGAATGAGTACTTCTTGAGAAGTCCCATACTAGGATGGAACGACTGTCCAATACTTCCTTGTCAAAATATGATGTATATTACATTAATTTCCACAAATTACCTATATTAAAAATATTTTACTTACTAGTCAATGAATGATGTTTTCCCTTCATCGTTTACACCATAGATTTTTGCAGCTTCATCATTGATTATTTCCGCACTGATTGTGAGGTAAACGTAAACTGGTTTGGTGTGAATTGGTTTTGGCCATTTTTGACAAAACTCATCTATATCAATCTCATCTGATTCTGATGATATGGCTTCTGATTTCGCTTTCTTTTTTCTTAAGTCATTATCTGTTACTGTAAATTCAACTTTCAATCTATCTATTTCGGATTGCCAAGCCTTTAATTCTTCACAATATTTGTTCTCTTCATGTTCATCGATTAACTAAATGATAAAAAAATGTAATAATAGTCGTTGTCATGGTGAACATGTAACTTATTCGTCTAGGAGTTGAGAGCGCCCTTAGAATCAATGCTTGAATAGTATTTTAACCTCTACACATTAATCAGAGCAATAAATATATGTTATTGACTCTGATCTCTGCTGACTGCCCTGTCTTTCAGCGTCGTGTAAACCACTGTATATACTGTTTTGTTTACTAGTTGATAAACATTGTTACAGTATTCTCCGAGTTTAGAACTTTATTGGTTAACTTATTGAACAAGTGTAATTTAACATTTATTTATGTATGACGATTAAGTGGTTATCGTGGTACTTGGTATTGTGGTTTGTACTACTGATATAGACAGATATAAGTAGTATGTATCACCAATCGAAAGTAGAATGTTTGGAGGCAAAAGGTTAAGATCGAAGACAAAAGAATGAGAACAGTGAGTGATTGGTGTGAAAACGAATGAACAACCAAGTCTGAGACAATTGATTGACATTTCGCAAATGAATTGTTTACTGTATTGTTCTTAGATTCTACTAAGATGTTCTGTGCTGTTGTATTTGGTTGTCCCCATTTTTATGCTCTTGTTCACTACAGTATGACTGTTCACAATCATAGTTTAATGTTCATCTGCATAAACAGTTAGTTTATGTGTAAAATGACATAAAATATCTTCCAAATATTAATAATGATATATACAAGCTTATAAAAAATGGTTTTACTTTAGCAATTCGTTCATTGTCATTCAAATGACAGTAAAATGCAGTGACAACAAGAAGTTTTTGTAATGACAAAAACATATATGTGTACATTAAAAGAATCTGAGGGCATATTTAGCTAAGGAGAAGAGGTATAAGAGCACTACAATGTTATACAACTCATGAAGTATCTAATGGTATAAGCAGACAGATAACCACCATCAACATGAAGTATGGTATAGATGGGTTTTGCAGAAGTTATTACGCCAGATTAGCAAAATGAAATGAAAATAACAAAGATCGGAATAATGTAGTGTTTCTACATTTACTTATACCTGTTAGCCCTAATGGAGAAGCATAGGTTGACGACCAAGATATACCAACAGAGTTTGTCCTCTATTCTCCTTTCAAGTTGTTACAAATTTTTTTATTTATTCCTTAGATGTCTGCTTCCGATTATCGGCGCAGTGTGTTCATTGGTCTTCCTCTTTTCCTTTCCCTTCAGGATTCAAAGTTAGGCTTTACCTTGTGATGGACTTTGGTGATTTCCACAATTTATGTTCCACTCACCACATAAACCGTCTTCTTCTAACTTCCTCTTCAGATGGAAGCTGGTTTGTTCTCTCCCATTGACATTACGTAACTTGTGTAGACAAATGCTGATAAATGACTAATTTTTTGATGATGATTGTGGTTGTTCTCGAAGTTTCAGCTCTATACAGTAGAACTGTCTTGACGTTCGTATAGGAGATTCTGATCATCAATATTCGTTGACAGTTGTTTTGCGTTCCATATTTTCTTCGGTTGTAGGAATGCTGTCCTTGATTTGCCAGTCCTTGCATTTACGTCTGCATCCATATCCTCCTTGTTCATCGATTATACTACCCAGGTACGTGAAAGTCTCCACTGGTACCAGAGTTTCTCCATCAAGTGTGATTGGTTTGGTTTGTGTTCTCCATGTTGCATTTGTGGATGTTAGTTTTCCCTTGTGTATGTTGATGTCTACTGATATAGAGGCTGCTGCTACCACACTGTCTGTCTCCAATTGCAATTGTTGGTGTGCATGGAATGGAAGAGTTAGGTGATCTTCGAAGTCCAAGTCGTCTAGTTGTATGCAAGCTGACATGGTATTCCGTACCTCCACTCAGATGTCGAGGTCTTCATAATCCAGTCAATCACCAGAAGAAAGAGAAAGGTTGAGAGCAAGCAGCCTTGTCTGACACTGGTCTCCACTTGGAGTGGATCAGTGAGCTGTCCACCCTGCACGACATGACAGTTTAGTCCGTCGTAAGAATTCCATATGATAATGTTAATCTCTTTCTCTACTCACTCCAAAATGTTAAAGGAGATTCCAAATCGTTTTCATCCACACTGTTAAGTACTTTCTCATAATCAGGCGAGCTGATGCCTGTTGACGAGCTCCATTCAATTGATTGTTCAACAGTGAACCGTAGTGTCGCGATTTGGTCGGCAAGCTATCGATACTTGAGGAATCCAGTCGTTATTATTATAATTAGTAGTAATTCATTAGCAGTAACTAAACTTAGGGATGTGATATGAAAAGACGGAGTGGTAGAGATGACGGGATATTGGGATTAAAGATTGCGAGGCTGATATTTTCAGGGTTTTGTTTTAAAATGTATTGATGTGGCACTAAATATTATACTGAACGTTATAGATACATTATAAAGAATTTATTTGAATGTGTTTACTTTCCTGCATCAAATCAAATACTCTTTACATTGTAATTACTTACTTTATTTCACATAAAGTAGTATGCATAGTGAAAGAATTTTGGTGGAGTTTTGTTCTCTGAGCTGGATGGTTTGGTCGTGGAGCTTTCATCGTTCTTCTGAACGACATCATCAGCACAAACTTCAGATAGAAGTTTATCTGAAGTTTGTGCTGATGATGTCGTTCAGAAGAACGATGAAAGCTCCACGACCAAACCATCCAGCTCAGAGAACAAAACTCCACCAAAATCATCCACCTGAGCTACAGATCTCCACCATCTCATAGTGAAAGAATAGAATTATGCATATTATCTGGCTGTTGTTTAAAGTATTCGTTAAACTTAATGATATCACTTATCGATGCATTTAAAGATGTACAGTAGAGATGTGTAATAAATATTAATTATCTTTTTATGGATTATATTATTTGTATATTCATTTCATATAGAAGTGAAGTTGAGACATTGTATTAGATCATAATTCCATGTTAGTCTGTTCATCAAATTGAGACAAACATTCTACAGATCATCAACATAATATTCGATTAACTGAATTTTAAAGTTAATCAATTAACAAGATCTGACAATTATTCAAGCTGTTTTCGACCTGGACGTGGTTGTAGAGACCAGATATTCACACTACATCAGGTCCTAGAACATAGACACATATTCAGATGCCCCATAATCGTAGTATTTCTCGACCTTAAGGCAGTATTCAACTCTGTTGATCATGAGGTTCTGTTGCAGTGTTTGTCACTGAAAGGAGTACCAAAGAAGTACATTAACTTTATGAAGGCTATCTACTCGGACACAACTGGATGAATGAGAGCTAATGGCGAACTGTCATCAGAATTGATTACCTCAAGTGGTGTCTGTCAGGGATGTCCACTCTCTCCATTCCTGTTTAACTTTGTCG